AGTGCAGGCAGCGCCTCACGTTCTGCTGCGCGACCGCTTTCAAAGTGACGCCAATGACTGGAGAGCAAAATAAGTGTGTTTGTGTGAGTGCATGTGTGCGCGCGTGTGCACCTCTTGTGTGCCAGTGTGCGTGTGCGTGCCTTGTCACGGCAGAGTGGATTTCTGATTGAATACGGAGGCGTTAATCCAATTGCCGGCAACTGAAAAGCCATCAGAGGCTGTTCATCATATAAATGGCATTAAGAGGGCTCCTCAATCAGATTCCAGCCTTGTATTCGAATGGGAGCCAGGTCTCATTTCCATCTACCAGTATTATTACATTGCCTCGGAATGACTCCAGGTGGACTCAGCTCTGGGATCCCATCAGCGGCCAGCATGGGGGCGGGTGTGTGTGTGTTTGTGTGTCAGTTCACAGCTTGCTGTGGCACGGTGTCTGTGTGCAATTTGCCAGGTGCCTGGTCACAAAGGGGGCCAGTATTCTCAGGGGCAGCTCATGGGCCAGGCACCATTCACACCAAATCCAGCCCAGTTTGGGACTGGCCAGTGAAATGAGCTGCTGAGTTCTTAGCCCCCATCACGAAGCCACGCCTACTGCTGGCTGTCTCAACAAAGAAGCTAAGATTCAAATAGGGCCCCCCAGAGGCAGAGCTGCACCCAACCCTGGGTCTGTGGGGGTCATGATGGATCAGGGGTAGCCTGCAGCCATGCTGCCCATGTTCTGTGGCTTCAGTCCCTAGAGCTGGAAATCAGGCCACAGGGCAAAGCCCAGCCGAGACCCTGGGACTAGGACTGCCACCTCCAAGAGGCAGAAAAAATGGTGACAGGCCACCCCCACACCAACAAAAAGGATCCTAGTGCCGACTATAGCTAATTTCTCCCCCAGAGTCCCTGTGCCCACCAGCTCCTAGGAGCCCCCTACCATCCCCTCCCAGGAGCTCCTGCCTCCATAGCCCCAGTCTCCACTCTTCACTCCTTCCTGCTGGTGAGCCTCTGTCTGTCCTGTGTCTTGGACCCCAGCTCCAAGAGGAGCTGCCAAGGTTTTGGCAGGTTGAGGACCTGGCCCTTGGGGCAGGACCCAGCAAGGGCTAGCTGTACTCCCAGCAGTTGCTACAGGTAACAACAAACAAGGAGCACAGCACATTAAATCTTGTCACTGGTAGCCAGCATGGCAGTGTGAAAACCAGGCAGGGGGTCTTTGGGGAGCTGCAGGGGCGGGGTTTGCTCTGGGGCCTCACTGAGCTCCGAGATAGACGGTGCCGCTGCCCGCTGAGCTGCGGGCCCTGGCTGAGTGCGCCAGTCCCTCCCAGAGGCAACATGTCCCGATGGCTCCAGGTGCCATCACTTCCTGAGTGGGAGGAAAAGGGTTGTGAGCAGCAGACATGGAACATGGCACCCCTAAAAGCACAGGCCACTAACTGCCCAGGCCCTGCTCCGTTAACCAAGGCTGCATCCGGCTCCCCAGCCTCTATCTGTGCCCCAGCCACACTGGGGGGAAAGCGCCATCCTGAGTGGTGGGTTAGAGAAGCACAAATCCTGCCTGCAGGAGCCTGATGCTCCGATGGCAGGAGCAGAGTCGTCCAGGTTCACCTGTGCACTGCACTGAGGCTGTTGGCTGCAGACGGAACCTGTGGTTCCCTCTACCCAATCCAAGGTCCAAGTTCTCAGCAACATGCTGGCTGGGCCTGCCTCCGTGCCTCACTGCCTCGCTCTCATAAACGTCACAGCAAAGGAGAAAACCCCAGGCCCGTTGGGACAGATCCACCCATGGCGGCCTGCTGCAGCAGGAGCCTGAGCCCTGCGGCTTCAGCTAGAACAGTGTAGAGAGCAGCTGGCAAGGAGCCTGCACCCCTCCCCCATCCAGTCCCAGCAGGGTAGATGCCTAGCTGGGAGCGCAGACCCACTGGCCTTTGAGCACAGAGCTGGGAATTCTTTCAGTGTGTAATTCCAGCTCCCATCTGTAGTCAGGCATGGATGGCTTCCTTAGATAAGCACACAAACCTGTCCCTTCCGGCCTGTGAAATACAAACCAGAGAGGCAGCCCCGTTCTTTGGGAAACTCAATTAGCACAAGAAAGAGACTTTGATTTAAAGAAACTCCAAAGTGAGTGACAACTCTTAATCTGAGGAGGAGTAATTTAGGAATGTAGGGGAGTGTGTGCGGGTGTGAGAGAACACAGAGAGAGCTTCACTGCCATCCATCAAAGGAGGATCACGGTGGTTTAAAGAGCCACTGCAAAAATAAAGATCTGTTCCTATTTTTCTAGCTCGTCGCCTTTCAAGGAAATACCTGCAGAGTAACACTCTCACCAGATTTCAGAGTAGCAGCCATGTTAGTCTGTATCCTCAAAAAGAAAAGGAGCACTTTTGGCACTTTAGAGACTAACCAATTTATTTGAGCATAAGCTTTCGTGAGCTACAGCTCACTTCATAGCTCACTTCATCGGATGCGGGTGAAGTGAGCTGTAGCTCACGAAAGCTCATGCTCAAATAAATTGGTTAGTCTCTAATGTGCCACAAGTCCTCCTTTTCTTTCTGCTCTCACCAGAGAGAGCGAGTAGGGAATAAAAGAACTGCACAAAACCCAAGACCATATGGGGCCCAGAGTATAACCCTCTGCATGTCATTTGCACTGGCACATCCTGGGTGTGAAATGTACCATCTCAGAGCACCCTTCACTCTGGTGTCAATCACTGCATGGGATGTAGGCAGTGATCAACTGGAGCCACCCCACCCTGTGAGGCATTTCACAGTGAATGCCAAACATTTTAAAAGGGGCTGCTGGTTTGGAAGGCCCCACCTCAAGGCCTGATTTGTAGGGATGCTCTGCTCAACCCCCAAATCTCCAGCTGAAGCCAAGGGGAACTGGGGGTTCCCAGCTTCATGTGTAAGTCAGGCTCTGAAAAAGGGAGTCACCCCATATCTGTGGCAATTTAAGCCTGATGTTATAACCCAGGCTGCCTCGAGGTCTGAATCTGATGTTTGTGAGTGTAATTAGCTGGATGGGAATCCTATTTAAAACAATTTAAACCTGAGATAATTAAACAGGATGAATTTGACGAGTGTAATTTACTTCGCTGCTGATTAACTTTGCTTCATTTTGCACTTCACTCAGCTGGGAAAGTGAAACAAAATCAATGCTGCCAATGCAAGTGATTTTATCTTGAGTTTCATGGTATTGATTGTTCTTCTTGAAGCTCCAGCTGCCGGAGTCAAGTGATCATGTGAGAATATCAGCTTTTATTTAAAATAAAATATTTTTCTCCCTCGTGATTGTGGAGAAAATCTTGAAACTGTGACCCGAGTGTGAACCCAATTGTCCCCAATCAGTGGGCAAAAAAAGTCCCAAAATTTCATTTTTTTAAAATCCCAGAATTGTAAAGCCAATCTCATGATTTTTGAGAGCTGACTCATGAATGCTGGAGGGTTGGCCATGCTGCAACCTTGCCCTGGTTCACTTTGGCCCAGATTTTTAAAGGTGTTTAGGCAGCCAACTCCTGTTGTAATCAGTTTCACTTCCATTATTCCCATACACTAGCCCAGCAGTTCTCAGATTTCATTGCACTGTGACCCCCTTCTGACAACAAAAATGACTATATGACCCCACACCACAAGGGGCTCCACCAGGCTAAATTGCTCAGGCTTGGGCTGTGGGGCTCACTCTTTGCTTGTCTGCCCTGGGCCCCAGTGAGTCTAATGCCAGCCCTGGCGACCCCATTAAAATGAACTTGGCACCACTTTGGGATCTTGACCCACAGTTTGACAGCTGCACTAGCCCAAATGACAAGGGATTTCTAGGTTCTTGAGTCTGCTGGGGCAAAGCTCTCATCTCCTGCCAAAACAAAGATTCCTACTGCTCCCACTGCAAACAAAATCCATTGCATGGGACTTTTCCAATCTATTAACTTTGTTTCCCCTTCAAACCACCCCTAAAGTTTGGGTGAAAGCTATTTGTATTTCCAATTGGAATCACCTTTATTTTAGATCAAAGGAAAGTAACAAAATAAGAGAACAAATCACAAAAGTAAAGTCCTCTGATGCTTGCTCTCTCTCTCTCAGAACACTTGTGCACAGGTGCGTGGAATTTCTGTAACAGTCTGCACTGATCAGAGCACAGAATGGCAGCTGGCTCTCGAGCAGATGGCAGCAAGTGCCAGAAAATTTTAAAGGGGCAGCACACAGAAAGACAGAATCCCACTGAGTGCGTGGTTCCTGAACTGCCAGGCTTTGTGCTGATGCAAACAGTGTTTGAAGGGAGATAAACCTCCTGTTTCAGGGCATTAGCTGATCTGTAACTAGTCAGAATTGGGATGAGCTCTCCATTGGGGCAGATTACCCCACATCTGCCTGCTTTGGGGTTCTTGCACTTTCCTCTGCAGCATATGTGGGTGATGGGTCACTGCACTAGATAACCAAGCTCCCCTGCGGTTTATATGGCCGTAGATAGGGAGAGCAGTGTGCTGGTAGCCGATCGTGGTGCTCCGTTGGAGAGCTGGCTGAGACAAGCTGGTGGGTTCTCAGCACAGCGCCGACGCTTAGCCCTAGGGCAAAGCACAGGCATGTATGTCTTGGAATGAAAATCTGTGCAGCATCTAGACACGCATCTATGCTCGCTAATAATGCTGGCAGCAGGAGCAGGACAACAGGCCTCCAGCGTGGGGTCTGGCTGCTAACTGCCCTCCCTGGCAGAGGTTGAAGCCCCAGGGTCTGTCCCCACTGCTGATTCTGGTGTGTGTGCAGCAGTGGGAGTCTGGTTACAACAGAAGCAACAATGTGGCTCAGATACCACCTCCAAGGGCTTCCCCTTCAACAGGTGAGCAGGGCTCTTGCTGTCCCTGTGTGGACTGGCAGGAGGCAGTGAGTGCCAGGGCTGTGATAGGGTGTGTGTGTGCTGAGGGAAGGGCAGTGCACCAGCCCTGACAGATCCATGCAGCATTTCCCCCCATGGCAGGCAGGGGGTGCTGGCACAGGCAAGGGGTGACCCAGGGTTGTCCTGTTTTGCAGGCTGAGGTATATGGTGAAGCAGCTGGAGAATGGCGAGGTGAACATCGAGGAGCTGAAGAAGAACCTGGAGTACACAGCTTCACTGCTGGAGGCCGTCTACATCGATGAGACCAGGTAGGCTGGGGTGTGCCTGCCCCATAGTGCCCCCTGGGGACACTAGGGGTTGTATGGGGGACACTCCCTCCTGGGGAGGATGTATAGGGGATGGGGTGCCATGCTGACAGGGGTGGGTGGGTGGGAGTGCATAGGGGATTAGATGCTTTGCTGATGGGGCATATGGAGGGAGAGTATATAGGGGATGGGGTGCTGTGCTGACAGGGGTGTGGGGGGTGCATAGAGGACAGGGTGCTGTGGTGCCTGGGAGATGGAGGGGAAGAGTATAGGGTGTCAAGCTGTCCTGCAGTGGCTCAAGAGCATCAGTACCAGCCTCCGGGCAGACTGTTAAGGACCAGGACACAATCCCCAATTGTTGGTGAGTTCTGTGCTTAGATTTCACCAATCAATTATCAAGTATAAACTCCTCAGGCAATGTAACAATCTAACCACAGAGTCACAGACAGTCCCTCTCGGTACTCTGATCTGTCTTGCCATGCAGGGCAGCCTGCCTTTGTGACGGATGGTCCCTTATGTTAGAGAGCTTATTCCTTCACTCTCCCACTTCCCTGGTCCTTCTCGCATGAACAGAGAGCAACAATACCTGAAGTCCGAACGTGCAAACAATTCAATGTTTATTGGGGTGAACTTCCAGCAAGCTTAAATACAAGTTCCTTTTTCCTTATTTTCGAATCCCAACTTACTTCCTGTTTGCCCCTAATTTATATAGTAATATTCTTAGCTATACCTTAACCAATCTTATTCTACTGAAATGTAACTAACCAATCCTAACATATTGTAACATGATTAGCTAACCAATTATATCCCACCACAATAATTAGGTTTCAGAGTAACAGCCGTGTTAGTCTGTATTCGCAAAAAGAAAAGGAGTACTTGTGGCACCTTAGAGACTAACCAATTTATTTGAGCATGAGCTTTCGTGAGCTACACGTAATGTAGCTCACGAAAGCTCATACTCAAATAAATTGGTTAGTCTCTAAGGTGCCACAAGTACTCCTTTTCTTTTCACAATAATTAGATTACACCCAGCAAAATTAATTATACAGCAGACAGAAACAATCACAGAACCAGACAGAGATTATACAGACAAGAGATTATACAGACAAACAATAGCAAAGTGGGAACTATAATGACAAAACAATACAGAAGTGAGGATTTCACATCCCAGCTATTGATAAGTGAGTTCTTGCCAGACAGGATGCTATCAAACTAAGTTTCCTTTTACATTTTCTAGGCACTTCCCTTTCTCTGGAGGTGATAGGAATACAATCCTGTCCTGATAGTGCCTGACAGCCCAATAGCACCTTATTTCAATGTGACTAGTTTGGAATGTGAGGAGGTGACCGGTCGCTTCCTAGCTTATGGCTGCCTCTGCTGCTTAGCCAAAGGCCTTAACCTAAGAACAGGGCCTCAGACTGTCACAGTAAGAGAAGGACCTTACACTGGCAGACAGTGATTTTGATTCTTTCTTTTATACCTCTAACTAGCCAAGTGATAAGAATACACCTAAATTCTTAAAGTACAGGCCTTTACAGACAGGCCTGAATATCTATATCCTAACACTTTACACCAAGGATCACAGCAATAGTCAGGTTACTCCCAGTTCCAAAGGACCAACCATTTACCCCAGGTCAGTAGCACCTTAGATCTCACGCCAAAGACAACACTTGTAGCCAATTCTATACTAAACTATATACAGATTTATAAACTAGGGAAAGAAAATAAGAGTTATTTACAAGGTTAAAGCAGAAAAACATACACAAATGTGTTCCGATCTTAAATTTCAAAAAGTAATAGACACTTCTATAATGTGCAAGCTCATATGTCCTTTTGGGCTAACCAAGGCTAAGCAACTGGGGATCTTTTGCCGAGCAATCCTTGCCTCCAAGAGTCCAAGCAATACAAAAGATACAGTTCCTCCTTGTTAGCACTTTTTATTTCTTTCCCCCTTCTGCATGGAGTTGTACATTCAGCTGTTCGGAGGAACTCATGGTGGGGGAGAGCAATCAGCAAAGCCTTTTGTCCTCTGACATTCAGTGTTGATGGGCCTCCTTAGTTGGGCAGGAGCTAATAGCTCCTGTTGGTTTCAGAGTAACAGCCGTGTTAGTCTGTATTCGCAAAAAGAAAAGGAGTACTTGTGGCACCTTAGAGACTAACCAATTTATTTGAGCATAAGCTTTCGTGAGCTACAGCTCACTTCATCGGATGCAGTGAGCTGTAGCTCATGAAAGCTTATGCTCAAATAAATTGGTTAGTCTCTAAGGTGCCACAAGTACTCCTTTTCTTTCAGCTCCTGTTGGAGACTTGTATTTACACTCTCCTTAATGCTTCTCTCCTGTCTGGTGATTAACAGTTACAGACCAAATGGGATACAGATGCTGTAAGTGAGATTAATGCAGACAGCAACTCACAAGTGTTTCATAAAGTCTAAACAAATTCTTATAATTCTAATACCTATTTTAATATTACATCACCAGACACAACCTCAACAGCCAGACTGGTTCCAGATACGTAGTTGTCAGTGTTCAGTTGAGACATGGCGCCTTGACATGAGCTGGCACAAGATATGCCAGCATCTCATAGGGGATGGGATGCCATGCTGACAGGGGTGTATGGGAGGAGGAGATACAGGGGATCAGATGCCATGCTGTCAGGCATATGGGAGGAGGACATGCAGGGGATGGGATGCCATGCTGACAGGGGTATATGGGAGGCGTTTGTGCAGAGGATGGGATGCCATGAATCATAGAATCATAGAAGTTGGAAGGGACCTTAGGAGATCATCTAGTCCAACCCCCTGTTCAAAGCAGGACCAATCCCCAACTAAATCATCCCAGCCAGGACTTTGTCAAGCCTGACCTTAAAAACTTCTAAGGAAGGAGATTCCACCACCTGCCTAGGTAACGCATTCCAGTGCTTCACCACCCTCCTAGTGAAAAAGTTTTTCCTAATATCCAACCTAAACCTCTCCCACTGCAACTTGAGACCATTACTCCTTGTTCTGTCATCTGCTACCATACTGACAGGGGTATATGGGAGGAGGACATACAGGGGATGGGATGCCATGCTGACAGGGGCATATTGGAGGATGGCAAGTGGCATGTATAGGACATGGGATGCTGTGCTGATAGGGGCATATGAGGGGAGAGGGATGGAGCGTGGGGGGTGGTGCGTGTCCATTCCTGCTTCACTGGCAGTTTCCATTTCAGGCAAATCCTGGACACAGAGGATGAGCTGCAGGAGATCAAGTCGGACGCGGTGCCGTCCGAGGTGCGGGACTGGCTGGCCTCCACCTTCACCCAGCAGACCCGTGCCAAGGGCCGGCGCTCTGAGGAGAAGCCCAAGTTCCGCAGCATTGTCCATGCTGTTCAGGCCGGCATCTTCGTCGAGAGGTTCGGAGCTGGGGGGCATGGCGGGGGCTGTCTACGGGGAGTTTGCAGGGTGCTATATTGGCATGTAGGGAGAAAGCTCCCTGCCTGGTGGAGGGGGCTGGGAGCCTGGACTCCTCGGTTCTATTCCTGGATCTGGGAGGCCACTGGGATCTGGTGATTTCAGCATGGGGACTGGGAGCCAGGACTCTCTGGGAGGGGAAGAGTGTCTAGTGGTTAGAGTGGGGGAGCAGGAAGTCTGGACTCCTGGGTTCCATACCTGGCTCTGGGAAGGGAGATAGTATAGTCACCGCTCCTCTCTGTGCCTCAGTTTCCCATATTGTGTCCAGGGATGCTCCCCACACTGGGTGTGGGAGTGGAGAATGAGGCTGAACGTCTGCTGAGTGCTCTGAGACTCTGGGGAAGGGTCAAGCAGGATCACACACACCCCTCGCCTCTCATGGCAGGGGATCTGCCTCTTTGGGCTGGCTACCTGCCTTAGCGCCCTCTTCTGGCAAGTGGGGAGCAGGGCCACAGTCTCACCTGCTGCTCCCTTTCCCTGCAGGATGTTCCGCCGGACGTACACAGCCGTGGGACCTAACTACTCCACCTCTGTCATCAACTGCCTGAAGGTAACAGCAGGGAGGGGAGGTGCCTGCTGCTCCCCATGCCCCTGACCCTGCCCGTGAGACGGGCCATGGCTCCCATGGGGGCGGAGGCTGCAGCCAGTGGCAGCCTGGCATCCTCTGTGCTGCTCACCCCTGTTTCCCTGTGGCCATCAGAGCCGAGCATGACTCTGCCCTGTGCTGGCAGAGCCAAAGCTGGCCCCACAAAGGCTGCATTGCTATGCCCATTGCTTGGGAGGGGTCACCCGGCCTAGCCCTGCTGTGTCACACGAGCGCTGTCCCCTCCCAGCACCTGAAAATCCCCATCACCTCTTCCTGTGACATGCCCACCATGGGCCTGCTTGTATCGGCTGGGCAGGGCTGCACCAGGCTGATGGACAGGGCCCCCCACAACCACAGGCACAACCCCCTCCTACCCTTAGCTGGGGTGTCGGTGCCCCTCCCTGTCCTGCTTCCCTAGGTTAGACGCTTTGCCCCTGCACCCATTCGCAGCTCATGCTGCCTGTGCTGGATACAGGGTGTTTCAAAGGCCCCCTGGATGTAACTCTGCCACCTGGAATGGGACCCAGCCTAGCCCTATGCCAGCTCCTCCCAGCCTGGTTCAGGCAGTGCGCCCCCTGCCTGCCACGGCCCTGCGCCAAGCTGCCTGTCCCTCCCCAGCCTTGCTGCACGGAGCGGAGGTGTGACTTCCGCTCTGCCTTCTCCCGCAGACCCTGGACCTGTGGTGCTTCGACGTGTTTGCGCTGAACAGGGTGACGGAGGACCACGCCCTGCGCACCATTGTCTTTGAGCTGCTCACCAGACACAACCTCAACAGCCGCTTCAAGGTCAGCAGCCTGCCACCTTCTCCCCCGTCCCCCACCAGCATCCTGCTCCCCGCCATGTCCCATCACCAGCCCCCTGTCCCCACCAGGCCCCATCACCAGCCCCCCCGCCCCATAAGCCCTATCAGCAGCCCCAACCCAGTCTCCTGCCCTTTATCATGCCCCATCAGCAGCCTCCTGCCCACTCAGCCCCAGAGGGCTGGAAGATCCAATGGGTAGTAGAACAGGAGCCCATGAGTGATACCAGGATCTCCAACCCTCTACACAGCCCAGATCTGTCCCCAGCACTCAGCTGGAAAGGAGGTTTGGGGGACACAGTGCAGGGGTGTGGCCAGCAGAGCCAGCACCCGAACAGGCCCGGTGTGGTCACAGCAGCCCTGGACCCATTCCTGGGGCTGGGTGCCGGCCTCTGTTTGTCAATGGAAGGGCTGGGTCTTGCAGAGAAGAGATCCCCTGAGTTTTTCTCTAAGCCAGCTGAATGGAGAGGTCACGGCGACCTTCCCGGCTCCGCAGAGGCTTAGGTAGGGTTCATGTGCACGCCTGTGGATATGTGTGAGCGTGTGTATGTGTAGCGCCCTCAGACACTGGGCGGGATTGAACCTGGGACCTCTGGAGCTCAATGCATGAGTCTCTACCGCATGAACTAAAAATCTTGTGGCTCTTAGCCAAGGCGGTAGCAGACTCATCAATCGCTAGCTGGGCTAGGTACCACTAGAGGGGGACAGAGTGCCACTCCCAGCAGGCCTGGGTTACATAGGCACACATATGTGTATCAGTCTGCACGTGTGTGCATGAGTAGGGATGTGCATGCATGTGTGGCGTAGGAGTATGCATGCCTGTGATCTGCATGTGCATGTCTGTGCGTGTGTGTTCCCGGGCATGCATGTCGGGGCGTGTGTGTGCCTGAGTGTGCATGTCAGTGCCCAGGTGTGCATGTCTGTCCAAGCATTGACTGTTTTTCTTCGCTCCCTTGCTGGGCCGGTTATGTTCGCCCATTGACAGTAACTGATGGGGATGAGGTTTGTGTGAACAGCCCTACTTGCTTTTCCCGTTCTCTGCAATGCTCTCCGTTGTCCAGACATGACACAGGCACCCATCTCGCTCACATGCTCAGGGCCACACAGTCGCCAGCTTTGGGGTTGGGAAGGAATTTTCTCCCCAGGTCAGATTGGCAGGAACCTGGTGGTTTTCACCTTCCTCTGTAGCAGGGAGCAGGGATCACCTGCTGGGATCATCTGGGCAGATCCTACCTAATCAACTCCCTGCCAAGGCAGGGGCCTTGGGCATTGGTGGCACCTCGGTCTCTCCTCTTCTCTGCTGGGGCCAAACCTGCTTTGATTAAGCGCAAGTCTTTAGACTTGGTACCAGGTGTCTGGGTGAAATCCCCTGCCCTGTGCTACCCAGGGGCTGAGACTAGATGATCTAATGATCCCGTCTGTGAAACAATAAAACAAGGTCCCAGCAGAAACACATGTATCTCACACCATGGAACAAACTGCAAGAGCAGGGGGCTCCGTCAGCATCCCGCCTGTGGAGCGTGGGGAGCGGTGTGTGAGCCAGCTCCCCAGGTCAGTGCCCCAGCCCTTCGAGACAGGTTGGGGGCAGCTCCCTGGTCCCCTGCACAAGCTGGCATCGCTGCCTGGGGCAGAGCTGTGGTGCCCACACGCAGGGTGTTTTCCCACCCACATGCTGGTGACTGATGGGGGGATCGGGAGCTCCTGGGCTCTAGCAGGAAGGAGATGCTAATGGGCTCTCTGGGACTGCTCCAGGCAGAGCCACGGAGCAAGGGGAAGGCAGGGGTCTGTGGTTCCCAAGATCACATCCCTTGGCGGCTTTTCAACATGGCTGAAAGGGGCCATCTCAGGCACTGGCCCATCCATGCAAACAGCCGGTGCCCAACTCCTCCGAGAAGGTGACAACCAACATGTCTGAGCCATGTCCCTGCTGCAGCATGACACGCATCCACCCCAGACACACTGCCTGAGTGCATGCCTCAGTGCATGCTGGGAAAATCCGGGCAGCTACCCGTGGTGCCTCAACAGGGACAGCGCACCCAGGAGACGTGCACGGAACAGCACCATGGAGCAGTGCATGCTGGGACGCCTTGCCACACAGGGACCTGGAGGAGGAGACTGTCCACATCAGTGACCCAGGCTCATTCAGGGGTCCTGGCTGCTCAGTGCCAGGCTGGGTACAGGGAGCTGCCCTGAGGCAAAATGGCTTCTGGCAGGGGTCACGTGCCAAGAGCTGCCACGGTTATTGCCCGAGCATTGATCACGTGGGGCAGAAGATGTACTAAACTCCGAGCCAGCCCTGTCTGGGTGCCTGGGTGGGAGGGGCTGGAATGGGCACAGGGCTGCAATGGGCAAGGGAGTCCGTGGTGCTGCGCTGGGCAGCACAAGTGCCCTGCAGGGCCCGATTTCCAGTGCCCGTCTTTGCTCTTTGCCGTACATCTGCTGGGAGTCGCTGGCACTGCTCCAGATTGTTGTGAGCAGAGTCGAGCCCCAATCCCAGAGACCTTCCCACAGGCACCACAGTCATAGCATATAGGTCAAGGACCCTGGCGTAGCAGATTGGTGCTTCCCTTCTGCAGCCACGGTGGGTGCGGTGGCCCGAGGAGGCTGGAAGCTCTGACAGTGTGTTGGTCTAGATCATTGTTGATTTCCCAAATGGTAGCACCAAGGAGCCCAATCCAGGGTCAGAGCCCATTGTGCCGGGTGCTGCACTGACTGCTCCTGGCTGGAGAGCAGAGGTGTCGGACTGGCTGTGATGGGGCGAGGGGGAGCAGAAGCAGAGGCTGTCTCCACGTGCCAATCTCTGGAGCAGACTCCCCTTTGCCCCTGAGGGAATGGACTCAGGTGTGATGCTCCTCTCCCCACTCACAGCAGGGTCGGGACTAGACATACAGCACATCCACCCCCTGTCTCCTCTCTGCCCTCTGCGTATGGCAGAGCTCTGGCAACAGGGCTGGCAGCGTGGTGTTCCCTGGACCATGCAGCTCTCGGGCAGCTGCAATACCGTAGAACAGGCAGGGCAGGGCTGCCCCCTGCTTGTGGGCTTCAGCCTCAGCCTGGCCCCATGGAGCCCCTCAATGGCTGGGGGAGTCCTGGGGCCCATTCACTCCCTGGCCTCTTTGCAGGTACTGCTCAAAGACACATGTGGCTTTACCCATGGGAGCAGCAGCAGTTACTCCAGTGAGTAAGTCCCTGCAGGATGAGGCCTGAGCCCGTCTGACATCAGCAAATAGAACAAGATCCCCCAAAACCACAGTGGGAGAGCAGGCCACTGCCCTGGGGGGAGCTCGGAGGTCTGTGGCCTAGTGGCACAAGCACGGGTCTGGGAGCCAGGAGTGCTTGAGTCCTTTTCCCACCTGGGCAGCCTTTGGCAAGTCACTTGGCTGTTTCCGTGCCTCAATTTCTCCATCAATCCTTCCTGGCTGCCCCTAGGGTTATTACGTGGTGATATTTCTGGCTCCAGTACAGGCTGGCAGCCCTCTCTGGCAGGCAGATACCCCCGCAGCGCACAAGGGGCGCCCAGCTTGCATGCTGCTGGCTCAGGGCTCTGGTGCTGCAGCCTGACCACCGTCTCCTTGCTCCGCAGATCCCCACTGTGTTTTTAATGACCTTACTGGACGCACTGGAGGCTGGCTATGGGAAATACAAGAACCCCTACCACAACCAGATCCATGCGGCTGACGTGACCCAGACTGTGCACTGCTTCCTGCTGCGCACTGGCATGGTGGTATGTGGGCGCTGTGCCAGCTCGCTGTGTCCAGGGCCCCTCACCTGGGTTCATGCTGAGGGGTCACGGTCTGGTCTCTCCACTGGCTGGTGGCTAATGGGGGGAGGTGGGACGATCAGGGCATGCTACTACTTCCTCCCTGGTGCCCACGGGTGGAGGGCAGGGGATCTCCCACAGCACTCAGCAGCAGCTGCTCCAAGCTCCTAGTTGCACAAGACAGGGAGGGGGAAGCTCCGTCCTGGCTCTTTCCCAAGTTTGTGGGGATCCAGAGTTTGGTTCAGCCAGTTTTAGAGTCAGGGCCCAGGCTGGGAGTGGGTCAGATCCAGCACCACTTCCCCAGATTTTGGGGGTACTGGGATCTGCGTCTTGGTCCAAACCCATGTAAGAGCTGCCTGGTTCCCCTGGTTCCAGTGCAAGGGGCTGCATTGTTACCAAGGAGCACAGCGCACCCTAGCGGCCTCTCCACCATCACAGAAACAGCCAGGTGGAGAAACCAGCCCAGCATCAGGAGGGTGAATGGACCTGAGTGCCCTCCTTCTCCCAGCTCCCTGGGCAGGCCCTGGCTGCTTCCTCCTGCCCAGCCATCACCTGCACCTGGCACCTATGTCTGCCCTGCTGCCAGCATAGCCTGGGCAGCAGCCCCTGAGAAGGAGTCAGGAACAGGCTGGAGGGACTGTTAATATAGTGGGGACTCTTAATATAGTGGGGTCACTATATTAAGGTACCTGCTGCCAACCTTCCCCCCACCCCTCCAGGTTATGTAGGAGCAGTGATTCCTGCACCTCTGCCCAGGGACAGGCCAGGGTGCTGAGCTGGGCAGGGCCCCGCGTGGGCACTAACAGCGTCTTTGCCCCCCAGCACTGTCTGACGGAGATTGAGGTCCTGGCCATCATCTTTGCAGCTGCCATCCACGACTATGAGCACACGGGCACCACCAATAGCTTCCACATTCAGACCAAGTGAGTGCCCAGGTGGCAGCGCATGGCACGGCCCCTCCAGCCCGGGATCCTATGGTGTAGGAGGGTGCTCTGGGCTGGAACCGCAGGGTTCGGAGGGCGTGAGGGGGATCAGGGCAGGGGCAGGAGGCTGGGATATGGGAAGGGGTGCAGGCTTCGACTGGGGGTGCGGGCTCTGGGGTGGTGCTGGGGATGAAGACTTTGGGTGCAGGAGGGTGCTCTGGGCTGGGACCCAGGGGTTCGGAGGGCAGGAGGGGGATCAGGGCTGGGGCAGGGGGTTGGGGCATGGGGAGAGGCTCAGGGGTGCAGGCTCTGGGCGGCGCTTACCTCAAGTGGCATGGCCAGGCAGCTCTGCTGCACACTGCCCCATCCGCAGGCACCGCCCCTGCAGCTCTCATTGGCTGCGGTTCACAGCCAATGGGAGCTGCAGGGGCGGCGCTTGGTGCAGGGATAGCATGCAGAGTGGAGGCCCCTGGCTTCCCCTACACATAGGAGCCGGAGAGGGGGCCATGCTGCTGCTTCCAGCAGCTGCGTGGAGCGGCCCCCGACCCTGCTCCCCAGCTGGAGCGCTGGCAAGTCCCAGATCCCGCTCCCCAGCGGGAACTCAAGGGCCAGATTAAAATGGCTGGCGGGCCATAGTTTGCCCATCCCTGCTCCAGCCTGAGCTCTGTGGAGGATTGGGCCCGCTTCGGCCTGTGCTCTGGGGAAGGATTCAGCCCGCTCTGGTCTGCACTCTGGGGGATTCCGCCCCATTTCGGCCTGTGCTCCTAGGGGAGGATTGGGCTCGCTTCAGCCTGCGCTCTGGGGGGATTGGGCCTGCTCCGGTCTGCGCTCTGTGAAGGATCGGGCCTGGTCTGCACTCCATGAAGAATTGGGCCCGTTCCAGCATGAGCTCTGGGGCAGAATCAGGCCCAATCTTGTCTACGCTGTGCTGGTTCACTCATCTCTCAGTGATGTGGTTGTGATAGCAGCCGGCTGCCTGCCCGGGGTGGCCTCTCCCCAGCCCCAAATCTTAGCCATGGCTCCTCTGGTCCCAGGTCTGACTGCGCCATCCTGTACAATGACCGCTCGGTGCTGGAGAACCACCACATCAGCGCCGTCTTCCGCATGATGCAGGAGGACGAGATGAACATCTTCATTAATCTGGCCAAGGATGAGTTTGTGTAAGGCCCTGCCCTCCTGTCCCTCTGCAGGACCCCCAGAGCCCGTGTCCCTTTCATTTCTGCGAGCCACGGGGTTGCAAATAAGTGGCTAATCATGCTGCTCATCTGGCCAGCAGGGAGCACATTGCAGGTGTCTGCCTATGATCATATGTATCCGCTCAGCGCAGAGAACACTGGGCAGCAGATACAGACATAGGCCCCCCCGTCCCAAATTGAAACGGAGGCAGAGAGGGGACCTTCCTCCCCTCCGTGTTTATGATTTATCAGTTGAGTTACTGTGTCACTTCGGGGCCCTCGTCCTGGAGCAGGACCCCGTGTGCTGGCACTGTACAGACACAGCACAAAAAGCCTAGTTAGTGAGTTGCTGATGGGATTTTTAGCACGGAGCGACAGTAAAGCACCCCATCATGGTGGAAGCGGTTAATGATGGGGGTACGTCTCTCTGAGATTCATGCACAGAGGGTGGTGCTGAGGTCCTGGTGGGGAATAGGGCAGGGAGCTCATTCAGCCTGAGGCTCTGCTAACTCTATTTCCGAGCCTTCTGTGTGTGGGGGACCCCTTAATGGGGAGCGCTGGGGGCAGCTGCCAGCTCAGGTTCATTGTGTTGTGCTGACAGAGCAGCCACAAAGGGGCCAGTTCATAAAATGCAATGGGTGGGGCGTGTGCAACGGGCTGAGTGGCTGGCTGTACAGGAGTGATCACATGTCTGTTTCTCCACATGGGGCAGGGAGCTGCGGTCCCTGGTGATTGAGATGGTCCTGGCCACGGACATGTCCTGTCACTTCCAGCAGGTCAAGTCCATGAAAACCTCCCTCCAGCAGCTGGAGAGGTGAGTGAAGGGGTGGGGGTGGAGGTAGGGTTGGAGGTGTCTTTCCAGGCCGCTGAAGGAAAGTGTTGCTTCAAGGGGAAGCAAGAGGTGGTGTTGGCGGGGGGGCGGGGGGCAGATGCTTTGTGCACGTAGGAAGTTTATGAGCACGGGTGGCTTTGTGTGCAGCTGAGGTGGGTGACAGAAATGTGTGTGTCACACGTGGATTTTGGGAGTGGGATGTGTGCTGGGCAGGGGGGTGTGCATTGTGTGTGTGTGTGTGTGCGCGCGCTGTGCAGGTCTGTGTGCGTATGTGTACGCACACATATGTCCACACACGCCGGCATGTCCACAGATGTGTGTCTGCATGCATGTGCCTGTGCGTGTACATGTGTCTGCATGCATCATGTTGACAAATTGGAGAGTGTTCAGGGAAGAGCCACAAGGACAATTCAATGGCTGGAGAAACTGCCTGCTGGGGCGAGACTGAAGAAGCTCCATCTATTTAGCTTATCAAACAGCAGGGTAAGAGCTGACTTGATCCTGGCCTGTAAATCCCTACACAGGAGCAGATTTCTGAGAGCAAAGAGCTCTTTAATCTCGCACTCAAAGGCAGAGCACGATCCAATGGCTGGAAGCAGAAGCTCAAAAAATTCAGGCTAGAAATAAGGTGCAAAAGGTTAAGTGAGGAGAATTAACCCTTGGAACAACTGGCCCCGGGGTGCAGTGGATTCTCAGTCATGTGGGGTCACTCTGTCCTGCGGCTGGAGCTGTCATTCCCAGCTTGGGTGTACGGACACTCGGTAGCTTTGATGGAGGTAACATGCTACAAAGAGCACTGTGTCCGCAGTGGCACGGGTGGTGGTGCAGGCTAAAATCCCATGTGAAATCCTGGGTGTGTATTCAGGCAGTGTATTCTCGCTGCCTTGATGCCGTGGCCACACTGCCGTGTTCAGCGCACTAGCTCCATCAGAGCTGGGAATTACGGCTCCCGCTGCAGCCTAGATGGACCCTTGGAGTCTGGCTCTAAAAGCTTCGCTCTGGCTCGGCTGGAGGCTGGAATCCCTGGCTCTGGCCGGGGAGATGCAGACGGACAGAGCAGGTGATGGTAATAGCCTGCACACTGTTGAGCTGAATTGCGTCTGTGCATGGCGGTGGGTGTGTGTGAACGTGCCTGTGTGCAGGTGTGCACACAACTCTGTGCCCAGGTGTGCTGGGCTGTGTCTGGGCGCCAGGGGTGAAGAGAGGTGGGGCCAGACCGTGCTTGGGTGGAGGCCGGGTAGAGAGCAGGGCCCCTTCCTCACTACGCCTTTTGCGCCTCCCTCTGCAGGATCGATAAATCGAAAGCGCTGTCGCTGCTGTTGCATGCAGCCGACATCAGCCACCCCACCAAGCAATGGAGCGTCCACAGCCGCTGGACCAAGGCTCTGATGGAGGAGTTCTTCAGACAGGTACCGTGGGGAGGCTCAGCCGGTCCCCAAGGCCTGCAGCTCTTCCCAGCTCCCTTTAAAACCAGATGAGCCCATGGGGTTCCAGGCCTTGGTCAGAAGCAGCTCAGGGGACCCAGGAGCTTGCAGTCTCAGGAACCTGTCCTAGGAGGGGAGAGATCCCCAGTGATTTCAGTGTCACCCGCTGCCAGGGAGAGTCCATACCCAGGCTGCCAGTGGAGAGTGGGATCAGGCTTCCCCCGAACCGGCTCCTCTTGGCCAGGGGAGGACGATTCCCTTACGCAGCCTAACAGCCCGAGGGCCCCAGGTAAGGCACTGAAGCTCAGTCATCCCTGCTGTGACCCCCCTTGGTCTCCCCCAAGTGTGGGCCTGCCCCCGTGTTGCCCTGTTGGTGGCACGATCTTCCCTGTGACTCTGCAGTACCAACCAGCCTTTCTGAGCCATTGCTGAGCTGGGTATTGCTGGCTGGGGCAGTGATTCCGAACCCAGCCCCCCTGACAGCAGAGAGCCAAGCCCAGAGCCTCTTCCAGCCAAGGAGCTTGTGGGCTGCACAAAATAATGGAGTTCCCCGACAGCAAGGGCGGAGCACAGAGAGAGGAAGGAACATGGCTCAAAGTCAGTAGCAGAGCTGAGAACGGAACCCCGGAGTCCTGACTCCCTCCGCACCCCCACTCGATCCCACTAGACCCCACTCCTCTCACAAAGCTGGAAAGAGAACCCCAGAATCCTGCCTCCCTGCCTCCCCCGCTCTAACCTCTAGACTCCATCCTAGAGCTGGGGAAGAGAACCACGGAGTCCTGACTCTCCCACTGCTGTTAGACACAACTTTGCTTGCCACCAATCAAGGAAACAGCACAAACCCCATTTTACAGATGAGGAAACTGAGGCCTGGTGAGGCGAAGGGGCTTGCCCCGGGTCACATGGTGGGGCTGGATATGGAAACCAGCAGATCATGGCCCCAAGCCCAGCGCCCAGTGAGCTTGCTCATGCTGCCTCTGGGTCTGGGGTGGGTGATACGAGACATTGGCTAGTTGGAATGGATTTTAGGAATGGGACCCAGCCATCATGAGGAACATTCCACTGTGACAGCTCAGCCATCCAATTAACTGCCAAGGAGCCACTGAACCGTCCCAAGTGCCTCCACAGAAGCCTTTGACAGAGAGTGGTGTTCCTTCCCTGCTCTGTGCACGGGGCGTGACAGCCATGTGCTGACTGTGATAGCATGAGGCCATGGGGCGCGATAGCTGTGTGGTGACTGCGATGCCGTGGGGCCTCGGGGTGTGACAGCGGCGTGGTGACTGCGATGCCACGTGGCCTCGGGGCACGACAGCGGCGTGGTGACTGCGATGCCACGTGGCTTCTGGGCGCAATAGCGGCGTGGAGACTGTGATGCCGCGTGGCCTTGGGAGACGACAGCAGCGTGGGGACTGCGATGCCGTGGGGCCTCGGGGCGCGACAGCAGCGTGGTGACTGCGATGCCGCGGGGTCTCGGGTTGCGACAGCAGTGTGGGGACTGCGATGCCATGCGGCCATGTGATGTCACTACAGACTCATCCCCACTGGAGTGTGAAAACAGGCATTTGCAGCTACAAACGCTCACTGTGTGAACCAAACTCACTCCCAGAGGCACAGACAGACAATCGTGTGCAGATCGAGTAGGTTCGGCTTCACACCTGCTGTCCTGCCCCCGGGGCCGGGCTGCTCAGTGGCAGATAGATTGAGCCTCATGCCCAGGGACAGTTTGAATCCTGTGTTTTGGACCAGCTGAGTATGTAACCCAGGTGTCCTGGCTCGTATTTCCCAGGCTCACAGCAGTAGCTGAGTCCACTGAATCCCTCTCCTGTGCCCAGGCTGCTCTTGCGTCACCCTGGGGCTGGGTGCCCCAGGCGTTTGGCAGGGATAATGGTGCTCTTTGTCTTGTTTCCCGCAGGGGGACAAGGAGGCTGAGCTGGGCCTGCCCTTCTCTCCGCTCTGTGATCGCAAGTCCACGCTGGTGGCCCAGTCCCAGATCGGTGAGTCGCTCCCTCCCCCCACCACACACCTGCCCTGATATATTTGGTGACTTGCCTTGCCGTTGGGCCAGGCCATGCCCTCATATCTGTGCATGCAGCCCTGCTGGCTCAGGGGTCCGTGGCACAGTGGGGTTCCAGGTGCATCGCATTCTAATGCCACCTCCCTCTGCCTCCGCAGGTTTCATCGACTTCATCGTGGAGCCCACTTTCTCGGTGCTGACGGACGTGGCAGAGAAGTTTGTCCTCCCGCTGATGGAAGAAGGCTCCAAGTCTAAGTCCTCCTCCAGCCAGCAGAGCAGGTGAGCACTAGCATCGGGGGGACACAGCAGCTAGAAAGCTCAGGGGAGTGTTACTAGCACTGATGCCCTTGTAGTTTTTCAGCGTGCTCAGGATTGCAGGGTCGTATCACTATCCCTACATTCCAGGTGGGGAAATTGAGGCATGACACAGGGAAGGGACACAGAGCAAGCATATAGGAGATTTGGGTTTGGAACCCAGGAGTCCTGGTTCCCAGGCTGCACACTCAGTACATAGGCCCAGTCCAGATCTCTTGTGCCAAGGGAAGTGGGGGTGCTGTGTTCACCTCTGACTGCAGAGATCCTCAGGGCAGGGCAGGGCAGGGCAAGCTGCATGTCCTGGTCGAAGTCTGGTCAGTGGGGACTGCCTAGGCAAGTCACTGATTCCTTCCCAGCCAGTACCACAGAGTTCTGGGGTGTCACTGGCTGGCCGGCTCCAGGCCTCCTGGCGCAGGGGAGCTGTTGGTGCCTTGTGTTGCCTCAGTCCCCCCTCCAGGAGGTGGTTACACTGTTGGGGGCCTGGGGCCTGGATCTCCTGGGCAGAACCCAGAGCCCTAGGGCCAGGTTGTCCCAGCAGATCTCATTGTTCTGGGGGGAGGGGAATTCTTCATTGTGCTCAAGGATGGGGAATGGGGGAGGGGAGGATCCCAATTGTTCTCAGTGGGGGTGGAGGGACAAAGTAGAGCTGGCAAGAAAACAAGGATTTCATGGTGTGAAAACTGTCCAGGTTTTGGCATTTGGTTTAGTTCCACATTGGGACAGAACTGAGACCTTTAGACCTTTTTGACAAAAACCCAGAGAGAAAGCGAGAGAGACGCACCCCAAAGTACCCAGCGGGCCAGGTGCTCACCGGGGCTGGGGACAGCGGCGTATTATCGCCTAGGCCGACAAGGCCTAAGCCTCGGGCAGCAAATTTGAAGGGGCAGCAAATTTATAATAGCAGCCAGAGGCGCCAAGTTCCCCCGGCGCCGGTGGGTGCTCGTGCCCCCCTGCCCCTGCCCCAACTCCACCCCTTCCCAACCCCTTCCCCAAAGTCCCCCCGCCAACTCTGCCCCTCCCTGCCCCTATTGGTCCCCTTCTCCAAATCCCAGCCCCACCTCCTCCCCTGAGAGTGCGGCGTTCCCCCCTCTTCCTCCCAGCTGCGCGAAGCTGTTTCATGCACAAGCGCTGGCAGGGAGCAGGGAGAAGCAGAACCCAGCGGTGTGCCCAGGGGAGGAGGCAGAGCAGAGGTGAGCTGGGGCCGGGCGCAGGGCGGAGAGCTGCTGGTGGGGGCTCTGCACCTGCCAATTTTTCTCCGTGGGTGCTTGGGTGCTCCAGCCCCGGAGCACCCACGGAATCGGTGTCTATGGATGCCGCGATTCTACCAATCACAGCACTTATTGAAAACACCAACGAGGGTGTGAATTTGTAAAAAAACTAAAAACAAGTTCTTATGGGGGCGGCAATTATTTCAGGGCCTAGGGGTGGCAAAATCATTAATCTGCCACTGGCTGGGGAGACACAGGGTCCAGGTCCAGCTTAGCCCAATTCAGAGCATGGATGTGAGCCTGGGCCTTCCACAGCCCAGGGATCAGGAAAACCTCTGCCGGTGTCTCCATTCTGGCTGTGGGACGGTCGTTCAGCCTCGAGGAATTTATCTTAATTAAGTGTTTCGGAAATGTTCGAAGGGGATGTCTGCCGGGCTGGGCCAGCTCCTCACTGGGGTCAGTGCCGTGGACTAGATGGGCCTGTGTCCTCTGACCCTGCCCTCAGGGGCACTCCCTGTCCAGAAATAGAATTAGACTGAAACACTAGTAAAGTGAGGCAGCCCCCGATGCTGTCCAGAGGGGCCAGACCCCCTGTAGGCTGGTGCTGCTGTATGAGCCCCTGGGCCTCAAGAGCCAGCACAGCACAGAAGAATGCCCGTGAGACTGGACAGCAGGATGCCTGGGTTCTGGTCCCATCTCTGCCACTGGTTCATGATGCGGCTGCAGGTAAATCGTGCCTCGCAATCCCTCGGTTTCTCCATGTGTAAAATGCTGACACTACTAGGAAGGGTGAATGAGCCTGGTTCTCCTCTTGCTCCATAGTTTAAGGCCAGAATGGACCATCAGCTCATTGGACGTGGCCTCCTCTCCAGCACAGGCCATTGATTATCACCCAGCCACCCCTATGTTGGGCCCAATGACTTTATTCAGACCAATGTATTCAGGCCTCAGAGAGCTACGCTGTTGTGGGCCACAGGCAGAGAAGAGGAGAGGAGAGACCGGGTGCCACCAATAGCCAAGGCCCCTGCCAGGGCAGGGAATTGATTAGGTAGGCTCTGCCCAGATGATCCCAGCAAGCGATCCTTGCTGCAAGCTGCAGAGGAAGGTGAACCCCTGCCCCCAAGGTCCCTGCCAATCTGACCTGGGGGGAAATTCCTTCCTGTCCCCAAATCTGGCCACAAGCATGACCCTGAGCATGTGAGCAAGATCCACCAGCCGACATCTGGACAGAGGAGTCGCAGCTCCAGGACCAGCTCAGGGCAATGGGCCACTTATCTCAGTGGAACTTCATTGACCACAGCGATGTTCCTCCAGTGAGGTTACCCACGTCCAGCCCCATGTGTGCTGACGAGCCCTAGTATCCCCATGAGCCATGTACGTTCCCCTGGGCATCCTTCCCCACCACCCAGAGATTCCCTTGGATGCAGTCCGACATGGCCATGAAAGGAAAGATGCTGGAAGCTTTGGGACCTGCCTGAACATCCAGCTCTGGCAGTACCGTCAGCTGATCCTTATGCAAATGAGATGCTAATCTCACTGCTCTAGATGAGATGACTTTGAAGAGTCTCCTAAGAAAAGACCCCCCTTCCCCCCCACTTCAGAGCACCAGGAATATGTAAAACAACCATCGTGGAGACTTCCCCAGACTGCCAGCAAAGTGCTGGTTCAGCCTGAGTTTGGGCTGCAGCTCCAGCCCAGTCTGCCCCTGCCATGTTGTAAAGGCAGGTTCCCAGTTGTGCTGCCTGCCTGAGTCCCTGCTGGGCCCTGGAGCAGTTACAGGCGATGGTTTTTCTCTATGGGAACAAAGGGGAATTTCAAGGTGTCGCTTCCAAAGGCCTTTTTCGCTGCAAGGCTCTGGGGAGGTGGGTAGCAGGGCCAGGCGTGGCCTTGGGCAAAGTCAAGCTCTGCGTAAACGGCTCCTTTTTGTAGCTGGGAGTCATGGCCCAACTTCAGAGCTTCACAGCAGCTCTGTGTGCACATGCCAGCTTCTCTGCAGTGTGAGAGCCAAAGGCCAGTGACCCAGCTGGGACCCCACCGATGGCTCCAGGCTGCAGTGCCTGAGCCTCACCATTAGCGAATGTTCAGCGTTAGCACCATTTCACCAGGGGAGACTGAGGGTCAGACCGAGCCAATGAGCCCAAGGGCAGAAGGCCTGAGCCAGAGTCGTTCCATTGACTTGAATGCATTTCGGATCAGGCCCCAAACAAGTAAGTCCTAGAAATGGGGATAGAACCCAGGAGTCCTGTCTCAGCTACCCCTGCTCTAACTCACTAGAGCCCACTCCACACCTAGAGCGGGGGAGAGAACCCAGGAGTCCTTAGCCACAAGACTTAGCAAGTGACCAAAGACAGTGGGGTTTGTCGTGCTGGTGGCAGGTGCCCCTCTAGACACGGGGTGCCTGTGAACACCAACACCATGAAGGGATAATTGAGCCTGGACAAATTTTGCATGACTTTCACATGGTTGTGTTTGCCAGTGCAGGCCCCACAGCCACGTGCAAATGCCACACCCCTGGGATGTTGCTGGGAAAGGTTTGCCCGGCTACGGTTCCCAGCTGTCTCGTGTGTGATCTGTGCTCGCCCCCTGCTGGCCTTGTGCATAACACCATCAGCAGAGGATGGAACAGGTCTGAGGGGAGTAAGTGGGGAGTCCCGAAGGAGGATGGAGCAGTGGGTCCAGCAGAACTCAGCACTGCCCCTTCCCTGGGGTCAGCACCAGCAGAGCCTCCCTATTGGCAGCTGTTCTTGTCCTCAGGCCGGCAGCATTACTGCTCCCCCTGCTCCTGCCACTGGATGGCAATCTCACTTCCCAGCCTCATTAGCAGGCGCTCTGAGGAGGCAGTGGGGGGTCTCAGTGCAAGGGACTGGGAGCTGCGAGGCCGGGGTCAGGGGGTCTCATCTCAGCTGCCCCTGTCTGTGAAGGAGCAGGTGCATCCAGGGTTATTTGTTACTCCAGCGGGGGGATGATGTGCTGAGCTGTTGGGTGCAGGCAGCTCCCATGGCCGTAGGCTGGAGTGGAGGAGATTAAGCCCGCAGTGTCCTCACCTCAGCCCAGCCCCAGCCCCTCTGTCCCGACTGTTGGGGCTCCCTGCCGTGCATCCCAGCCTTGGTGTGGTTCCCACACTACATTGGCACTGCCCCCTCTGGCTTCCCTGCAGCTCCCAATGGAGGCAGCCTTCCCTGGACGAGCATTCAGAGCTGGGTGACATCAACACCGACATCACCAGCTTCCGCTCCACCTGGACCAAGTACATCCAGGAGAACAAGCAGAAGTGGAAGGAGCGAGCGGCCAGCGGTACGTACTGGGCATGCAGGGCTGCGAGGGATGGGGGGTTCCCCAGGACCTGGGGCCCTTTGAGGAGAATCCCTCCCCCCCACATCTGAGAAATTCTCAGGCTGATCTCACTGTGCCCCCGCACCCTCTGGACTGAGTCAGGCCCAGCCTGGGAGCAGCACATCGCTCCTCACCGGTCCCGGCCAGGGGCAGTAGTGGCACGGGAGGAAGGGCCTGGCTCTGTGAACCTCGCTCCTGCACCAGCACCTGCACCTGCACCTGGTCACCTGAGCAGGGCTTGTGGCTGTGGCAGCATGGCCCACAGGGCTGAGGGTTGCAGGTGCTCCTGGGAGCAGGCAGATGGGGGCCAGCAGAAGCTGTTCATCTAATTCCAAAACCAAACCAACACAGGGAAGTGGAGTGAGATGGAGAAAGGCCAGACACTCCAGCCCATGCAGGCTGCACGTTAGCCGAATGGCAACCCCCTGGTGGCAGGGTCTGCGGCCCTGCATGAGACAAGTTGGCAGGTCTCAGCTCAGTCCACATGCCTACCTATTTCAGGTGGCACGAAGCAACCCCCTCATGGCACCCCACAGCGAGGCCATGGAGCCAATGGTCCACATTCACTAGCTCCATCCTGAGTGGGGTCCCTGCCGCCCTGTCTCATGAGCAAGCCCCAGTGCCCCACATGCCCTGTCTCTCCAGGGATCACTAACCAGACATCCATAGATGAGCTGTCACCATGCGAGGAGGAGCCACATGCACCCGAAAACCAGCACAATCAGAATGGCGATGTGGAATAGCACAGTCTACGAGGGAGTGAGGTGAGCACCGGTCACCACGAACCCGGAGTCAGTGTGGCCTGGCGCTGCCCCTGCACCCTGTCCCCTGCACCGTCACCACGAACCCGGGTCAGTGCGGCCTGGCCTGTCCCCTGGCACCGTCACCAAACCCGGAGTCAGTGCGCTGGCCTGCCCCCTGGCACGGTCACCATGAACCCATAGTCAGTGTGACCCTGGCCTGTCACCCTCACAGTCCTTAACCCATAGTCAGTGTGGCCTGGCGCTGTCCCCTGGCACCGGTCACCATGAACCCATAGTCAGTGTGGCTGGACTGCCCCCGCACCGGTCACCTGAACCCATAGTCAGTGTGGCCTGGCGCTGTCACCCTGCACCGTCACCATGAACCCGAGTCAGTGCCTGGCCTGTCACCCTGCACCGGTCACCATGAACCCGGAGTCAGTGCGTCTTGGCGCTGCCCCCTGGCACTGGTCACCATGAACCCATAGTCAGTGTGGCCTGGCGCTGTCCCCTGGCACCGGTCACCATGAACCCGGAGTCAGTGCGGCCTGGTGCTGCCCCCTGGCACCGGTCACCACGAACCCGGAGTCAGTGCAGCCTGGCGCTGCCCCCTGGCACCGGTCACCATGAACCCATAGTACGGCGACTGTGGCGGCCTGCACCCGACCCGGCGGGGGCCCCTGGCCTGTCCCTGAACCCATAGTCAGTGTGCCCCGAGGGGCGGGCTGTCCCGGCGCACCGACTGTCGTGGATGGGCTGTCACCCTGCACAGTCACTTCAACCCTCGCTGTCCCCTCCTTCCCGAACCCATAGTCAGTGTGGCCTGGCCCCCCCTGCACCTCACCTGAACCCATAGTCAGTGTGCCTGGCGCTGTCCCCTCACCGGTCACCATGAACCCGGAGTCAGTGCGGCCTGGCGCTGTCCCCTGGCACCGGTCACCACGAACCCGGAGTCAGTGCCCTGGCGCTGCCCCCTGGCACCGGTCACCATGAACCCATAGTCAGTGTGACCCTGGCGCTGTCACCCTGGCACAGGTCACTTCGAACCCATAGTCAGTGTGGTCTGGCGCTGTCCCCTGGCACCGGTCACCATGAACCCATAGTCAGTGTGGCCTGGCACTGTCCCCTGGCACCGGTCACCACGAACCCGGAGTCAGTGCGGCCTGGCGCTGTCCCCTGGCACCGGTCACCATGAACCCATAGTCAGTGCTCTTTGGAAAGGGCGGTCGCACCGAACCCAGTCAGTGCGGCCTGGCGCTGTCCCCTGGCACCGGTCACCACGAACCCGGAGTCAGTGCGGCCTGGCGCTGCCCCCTGGCACCGGTCACCATGAACCCATAGTCAGTGTGGCCCTGGCGCTGTCACCCTGGCACAGGTCACCATGAACCCATAGTCAGTGTGGCCTGGCACTGCCCCCTGGCACCGGTCACCATGAACCCATAGTCAGTGTGGCCTGGCGCTGTCACCCTGCACCGGTCACCATGAACCCGGAGTCAGTGCGGCCTGGCGCTGTCACCCTGCACCGGTCACCATGAACCCGGAGTCAGTGCGGCCTGGTGCTGTCCCCCGGCACCGGTCACCATGAACCCGGAGTCAGTGCAGCCTGGCGCTGCCCCCTGGCACTGGTCACCATGAACCCATAGTCAGTGTGGCCTGGCGCTGTCCCCTGGCACCGGTCACCATGAACCCATAGTCGGTGTGGCCTGGCACTGCCCCCTGGCACCGGTCACCATGAACCCATAGTCAGTGTGGCCTGGCGCAGTCACCACGAACCCGGAGTCAGTGCGGCCTGGCGCAGTCCCCTGGCACCGGTCACCACGATCCCGGAGTCAGTGCGGCCTGGTGCTGCCCCCTGGCACTGGTCACCATGAACCCATAGTCAGTGTGGCCTGGCGCAGTCACCACGAACCCGGAGTCAGTGCGGCCTGGCGCTGTTCCCTGGCACCAGTCACCACGAACCCGGAGTCAGTGAGGTCTGGAGCTGTCCCCTGGCACCGGTCACCACCATCCTGGAGTCAGTGCGGCCTGGCGCTGCCCCCTGGCACTGGTCACCATGAACCCATAGTCAGTGCGGCCTGGTGCTGCCCCCTGGCACTGGTCACCATGAGCCCATAGTCAGTGTGGCCTAGTGCTGTCACCCTGCACCAGTCACCACAAACCCGGAGTCAGTGCGGCCTGGCGCTGCCCCCTGGCACTGGTCACCACAAACCCGGAGTCAGTGCGGCCTGGCGCTGTCCCCTGGCACCGGTCACCATGAACCCATAGTCAGTGTGGCCTGGTGCTGTCACCCTGGCACCGGTCTCCACGATACCAAAGTCAGTGTGGCCTGGCTCCATCATCTTGCTGCCTCTCACTGTGAACCCAGAGTCAGTGCGACTTGGTGCCTTCCCCCGGCGCTGGTCACAGCAACGCTGGAGTCAGAGTGGCCTGCCTGGTGCCTTCACCCTGCTGCCTGTCATTGCGAACCCAGAGCCAGTGCAGCTTGGTGCCGTCACCTGGGCGCACTGTGCCATCCCAGTTGGGAGGATCCCACTCCCGCTCTGCCCGGTGCAAATGGCACACAAAGAGCTGAGCCTGGCAGGTGCTGAGTACACCCGGTGACCCTGATGACAGTCCTCCGCTCCCTGCTCAGCGGGTGCGTCAGAACCTGCAGCCAGGGGCCACGAGTCCTATGGGCTCATGGTGCCCGGGCTCCACCAGTATTCAGGGCTCAGGGGGCCCGGCTCCACCAATGTTTGGGGCTGGGTCTCTCCCCCGGCCCCGAGCCTGCCACTCATCCTGACTCTGCTCTGCCTGGCATCAACTGCTGCCGCAGGGTCCTCGTGCCTGCCATTCACTAATGGCAGGGCAGGCTACCCTTCCGCCCTAGTCCTGAGCCTCTCCAAAGCCCCAAACCCCTCAACTCCAGCCCCAGACAGAGCCCTCATCCCCCAGCACCCTAATCCTCTGCCCCAGCCCTGAGCCTCTCCCACACCCCAAACCTCTCCTCCTCAGCCCCACAGCCTTCACCCCTCACCCCCTCCTACACCCTTACACACACCCCCCCCCAGCCCAGAGCCGTCACCCAAACTCCGTCCCAGAGCCTGCACCCCTCATCCCCTCCTGCCCCCCTACCCTCTGCCTCAGCCCAGAGCCTGCGCCCAGCACCCAAACTCCATCCCAGAGCCTGCACCCCAGACCCCTTCCCCCACCCAAACTCCTTCCCAGAGCCTTAGGCAGGTGGGGAGCAGAGTTTGGGGGTGGCGGGTTCTGGGCACCACCAAAATTTCTACAAACCTGCCACCCCTGCCTGCAGCAGGGCCTGGCTGTTCCTGGTGTGGTACAGTCAGGGTTGTGGACATGGCAGTGCTGGCCTTCCCTGGGCTCGCTCTCCATCTGCAGAAGCAAGACTCCCTCGCCTCACGCGGACACAGAGGTGCCTGGTCTGGGTGACAGAGCCTTTAGGGCAGCGATTCCAAATGGTCCCCGCTCCTGTAGTGACCACGTGTTGTTGCCCTCTCTGCTATTGAGGGCCCGGCTGTCAGATACATTTGGGGCATCTCAGCCCAGATCCTGTGGCTGTCAAGCAGTGGTTGGGCAGGGGAGACCACACTCCCCTCTCAGCCCCAACAGAGTTGTCCCTCTAGGGCAAGGCTGGAGCTTGCTGTGCTGCTGGGGTGTGAGTCTGCAGAGCTCTTCCCCTCAGCCCCACTCTGGTACAGCCAGTTCTGACTTTGACTCTGGGGGGAGCTCAGTAGTTTGAGCATTGGCCTGCTAAACCCAGAGTTGTGAGTTCAATCCTTGAGGGGGCCATTTAGAGATCTGGGCCAAAAATTGGGGATTGGTCCTGCTCTGAGCAGGGGGTGGGACTAGATGATCTCCTGAGGTCCCTTCCAACCCTGATATTTCTATGATTCTATGGTTGGAGTAGCTCATTGCTGTCAGCTGCTGTGAGGTGGAGGGCAGTGGGACGCACTGTCCTGCACAGAGGGGGCTGTGCCCCAACACATTCTCAGACTTGTACTATGCAGGGAGCACCCTGGCTCAGCAGGACCAAGGGGAGGGAGAAGGTGGGACGTGCTGTCCTGCACAGAGGCAGCCGTGCACCAACGTGCCCTCAGATTGGCACCATGTGGAGGCGCTCTGGGTCACTGGGTCCCGGACGGGGTGGGGTAGTGGGATGCACTCTCCTGTACAGAGGCGGACATGCACCACCATGGTCTCAAGTTGGCATTAGGTGGGGGGGGGGGCCCTGGCTCAGCAGCGTCCAGCGGAGGGGGACTGTGGGACGTGCTGTCCTGCACAGAGGCGTCTGTGCACCAGTGCACTCTAGGTTGGCACAATGCAGGGGTGCCCTGACTCAGCGGGGCCTGGCGGGAGGGCGGATCCTGCTGTCTAGGCCTTGACTCTCCCGCTCTGACCCAGCAGGTCCCATTTCCAACTGAATGATGCAGTTTAGTCCAAAGTCTTCGATGCCATCGAAATCAACACCATCGCAGGAGGAGCCGCCGCAGGCCAGAGGGCGAGCAGGAACAACCATTGCCAAGATATAAAAATTAATGTAAACTTAGAGTCAAGGGAAATCCTGATGTCACCGAGCACATGGCCTGAACCCAACAAAGCCTTTCCTCGCCGCCGCCACCACCCCAGAGCTCTGGCATGGCCAGGCCAGCCACCAGCCCTGCCAAGCCAGGTACTATAGGCCCCTGTTCCAGCTGCCTTCCTGCCCCACCCCTCCAGCTGGGGCTATCAGAGGCATCTCACTGCCCAGCCAGCAACCTCCCGGAGCTGCTGGGCCAGGGCTTTGCCTGTGTCTTTTTAGAGGACGTGTTCTCTGGAATCCCAATTTGCCAGACGCCCAGGGATGATTGAGGTGCAGAGGCTTCAGGGTGATCCACAGGCCTGTGGGAGGAGTTTGGGGGAGAATGGGGTGCCAAATTGGTCACTTGGGCAATTGTGGACTCCAGCAGTGCCCCCAGGGCATGTCACAGCTGCTTACCTGCCCACTGGAGCCAGGATGGATGACCACTGCACAATACCTGTCTGGGGTGATGCCTGCACCCCCCAGACTCAGAGCCCCAGGGCCTACCCTTAGAACAGAACATGGGCTGGGTTGCCCCTTGTACCCCCAGACAGACACACCCACTCCTCGCAGGCCAGAATCTCCTCCCCGTCTCTAGTGGGGTCCCTGCAGAGGAGGGTCTGGCCTCCAGTGGCAAACCCTCCTGACTTGCAGCCCCAATATGTATCTACCCGGAGCCCAACATTCAAACAGACCCTGTGCCAGGCTCAGGCCCAGCATTGTGAGAACAGCTATTGGGCTCCTACCTGCCAGGCCAAGCCCCCAGCTGTGGTGTGGGATTTGGGCCCACCTTGGGCCCAGGCTGGAAAAGTGGGCGCCATGGTGTGACACTCCCTGTGCGTTAAACCCCCTTTCTCAGGGCTCCCCTCCAATTTGATTGGGTCAGGACCCACTCTCCTTCCTGTGGGGAACCCAGGAGCTCCCTGCAGATGTCATGGGGCTGGCGTGGGGGTTGTGGTATTTGACACCAAGGGGCTGTTGTGTGGAATCTGCTCTCGCCGGGTCCCGTGCAAGTTACAGATGCAAGCCCCATGTTACACATGTGGGGAGTGTGTTTGTTCTGTGCCTCCTTGCACATGGGTCCTTGCAGCATGACGGGAGGCTCCACTGGTCATGGGGCGGGGAGTGTACACGCTTTTGCCTGGATAAACACTTGCTAAACAGTAAAGGAGCCAGGTACACGCTCCACAGTAAGGCCAGGTGAAGCCACGTCTCCCAGAAGTGCAGGGTAATAAACGGAACTGAGACAAGGGCTTCCCAAGCCCTCGCCACCCCACCACCCCCTCCATCCTGTGTCTCTCACTAGGCCCCTGAGCCACACCTGTGGAGGAGGGCATGGAAGGACGGGCAGGGACCGTGGGAGGTGTGTTCACCCTCCGCCCTGTGGGGTAGAATGACCATAACAGAGCAGATTATTACTCTGATCCGTATCCTGTGGCTGGAGGGGGGCTCCAGAGCAGGCCCCTTTGCACACCTGGCTGTTAACAGGACTCGGCTCACAAGCGCAGGGTGGCCTGGAGCAAACTCCACAGCCCCATTCCCACCTCACAGCACAGGGATGGTGGGTTTGTTGTTTTGTTTTTGTTTTTGTTTTTTTTTGGGGGGGGAGCACGTTTGAACCCTGAACTCTCGGCCTGGTCGACTCACACGTGCAATGACTGTGGCAGCCTCAGTTTACCACCATTAACTCTACTGAGTTGCCGTGGGCTGTGGTGCAGCAGGATTCAGCAAGAGCCATGGGAGCCAGCAGGCTCTAGGGGCCTTGGCAGAGCTGGGGGCAGGACTGGACTAGCGGGGCTGGGGGGCTGTGCACCCTAGAGGGGCTGGAAAGGGACTGAAGAATAGGTTGTGATAGACTAGCATTGGCAGAGCTGTGTGTCTGGGGGGCTCAGATAGCAGGGGCTGCAGGTTGGGATTGAGGGGCATCGGCAGAGCAGGGGCAGGGGAGCCCAGGGCTGAGCTACCAGGGGGCTGCAGGTTGGGATTGAGGGGCATCGGTAGAGCTGGAGCCGGGGATCCCAGTGGCTGCAGATTAGGATTGAGAGGCATCAGTAGGGCAGTGACTGGGGAACCCAGGGCTGGGATCACAGGCGCTGCAGGTCAGAACTGAGGGGTATCAGTGGGGCGCCGGTGGGGATGCGTGCATGAAGCCTGTCTCTATCCAGCCCACTCTGTATCAAACTGTAAATATTAAGTTCCCCCTGATTCCCAGGGTCACAGGGACTCTGTTCCAGCCGGCTCTGTGGTGGGGTTGTTTGGGAGCTGTCCAAGGCTGGACTTCCCACGGGTTCATGGGTCAGGAAAAGCCAGAGGATTTGTCTAGATTTGTCTAGATGAGGAAAGCCCAGAGCTGCGGGTGAGCCTGCTCCAGTCAGCTACCTTGGCCTGACCTCAGGTGACCTCGATTAGGGAGTGGCACTGTCTGTGCTTGGCCAGTGGATGTGAGCGAGGACACCAGGGGGAGCTAGGGAGGAGATAAGTGCGTATTTAGCGCGTATGTGTAATAGTACAGGCAGGGAGCTGGGAGTTAGGACTCCTGGGTCCTATCTGCAGCTCTGGGAGAGGGGTGGGCTCCAGTGGATTAGAGCGGCGGGAAATGAGGACTCTTGGGTTCCATTTCCAGCTCCGCTACTTCGAGGGTGACCAGGGCCAAGTTACCCCGCCTCAGTTTCCCCCGCTGTCTAAGGGGTTAATGACATTTCCCCAGGGGGTTGCCAGGCTAAATTCACTGCTGGTTGTCAAGTGTTTGGAGACGCTTGGATGGGAGAGGGGAAAGGGGGTGTGAGTGGGGAGCTGGGCTCCACACTTGGCACTTCCCGGACTACAAATCCAAGAAACCCTTCCACTAAAACGCCAGCCTGTCCTGCAGCACATGCTGGGGGCTGCATGCTCAGGGGGCTGACAGGTGCACTTGGTATAGGGGCTGGCTGCCCTGTGGTGGGGGGCACTGGAAGCTGCATGCTTAGGTGCCAGAGTGGATGCTGGGGGAGGGGGGGGCTATAGGGGCTGGGAGCCTCCTACTTTGAAGAGCTGGGAGCTAAGGACTTGGTGGGGGTGGGGGTGAGGCTGAAGTACACTTGCTATAGGGGCCAGGAACCCTGGGAGTGGCTGGGATGTACGCTTGCTATAGGGGCCAGGAACCCTGGGAGTGGCTGGGATGTACGCTTGCTATAGGGGCCAGGAGCCCTGGGAGTGGCTGGGATGTACACTTGCTATAGGGGCCAGGAGCCCTGGAAGTGGCTGGGATGTACGCTTGCTATAGGGGCCAGGAGCCCTGGGAGTGGCTGGGATGTACGCTTGCTATAGGGGCCAGGAGCCCTGGGAGTGGCTGGGATGTACGCTTGCTATAGGGGCCAGGAGCCCTGCTCTCGGTGAGGGGTTGGGAGCCAGGTGCTCTGGAGGGTCCCTGAGGTGTACTTGCTGCAGGAGCTGGGCACTTGGGAGGGAGTGGGAGGTGCACCGCGGTAGGGGCTGAGAGCCACTGCTCAGGGGAGGTGGGGGTGCACTTGCTGTACAGGCTGGGTGCTCTGGCGGGACAGGGAGATGCACCAGCTATAGGGCCTGGGAGCCGCATGCTCTAAGGAGTGCACTGGCTATAAGGGCTGGGCGCTCTGTGTGTGTGTGCTGGGGGGATGGACAGGTATATCTTGCTATAAGGGCTGGGCGCTCTGCAGTGGGTGGGGACAGGCAGGTATATCTGCTATAAGGGCTTGGTGCTCTGTGGGGAGGAGGCAGTTATCCCTGCTATAAGGGCTGGGTGCTCAGGGGGTGTGGTGGGCAGGTATACTTGCTATCAGGGCTAGGCGCTCGGGGAGGGGAAGGGAGGTATACCTGCTATAAGGGCAGGGTGCTCAGGGGAGGGCTGGCAGGTATACTGGTGCGTCAAGCCATAGGACCACTGGGGTCTAGCCCGACTCTAGGAGGGGCATGGCAAATGGAGAGGGGGTTAGAGCAGGGGGACTGTGAGTCAGGAGATCTAGTGGTTGGAATGGGAGAGTGGGACTCAGGACAGGGGTTCTAGGCCAGGCTTTGGGAGTGAATGTGTCTGGTGGTTAAAACAGGGAGCTGAGTGGGTCCATCTTTGCTGCTGACTTGCTGTGTGGCTTTGGGAGAGTCACCTCATGGCCCGTGTTGAGTCCCCTCCTCTGTAAAAGGGGGCTAGTGATGCTGTCCCACCTGGCAGAGTGAGGGCTTGTTTGGGGGCTGAGTCTGATCTGCAGGGAGGCGGGAGGGCAAAGGTACCAGAGAGGAAGAGCAAAGGGAGACAAAGCCCCACCCCACTCAGAGCCAGTGGCCTGTTCTTAGAGCACCCAAGCATCAACTTCAGGCCACATCCTGCTCCTGCCCACACCATGGAAAATCACCCATGGAAAACCCTCCTGAAGGCCTGACCCAGAAAGCACTGAGCACAAGCACTGTCTCTGAGGTCAATGGAAGGCAGCAGGGCTCAGCACCCCACAGGATCAGGCACTAGGTGAGACAGAATCAGGCCCAGAATCAGCAGCTCCCCATCATGAGCGTCCGTGGGACTGACCTCACCAAACTGGCTTCCTTTCAGCTGTGAGGACCTTTAACCTGGTCGCTGCTTAGCGGCCACACAAGATTGCAGCCTGCCCCAGTGGCCATGAGTTGCTAAGCTCTCCTGCCCCGCACTGTAAATACACCCAAGCTCACCTCCGCCATGGGTATTCTCTGTACGTGTTTGTACTTCGGGCATAATTTTCTACCATGCAGTTACTCTTTGTTTCTCGAAACTGGTTATTATACGAACAGCTCCACATTCCGATGCTGAGCCCAAACTGTGCGCATGTAAAAATGAAACTAAGGAACTAATCAAAAAAACTACACGAAGGACAAATAAAAAACAAAAGAGAATTAAAAATGGTTTCTGTTGTTGTTTTTTCCCCTGGCTTTGGAAATAATTTTTAAAAGGCCCCCCAAAGGGACAAAGGGAAAAAGACTTCACAGGGCAAGACAGGAGAGAGAAAAGTGTTTTTTGGTTTTTTGTTTTTTTTAAGAAAAGCCCATTTCTAATTTTAGCTCTGGCTCGGGAAAGAGAGCGGGGGGCGGTGGGGGGGGTAATTGTTAGAGCAGGATTTTTGCTACCAGCATTTTTTTGTAATCCGAAGCAGGAAGCCTGTCCCAAAAAAATCAGTGGGGCCATTGGATAATCAAGGTGCACTCAAGGAAGACAAGGACGCCAAATGAATTCGTTGCATTGGTCGTCACTGCAGATGTGAGGGAGAGTCCAACACCTGAGCTGTTCTTTTTTAGGTGACAAATCTGAAGAACTGTTCCAGATTGAGGTGTCAATAGAGGAGGTTTTGGAACAAACAGATAAATTAAGCAGCAGTAGGTCCCCAGGACCAGCTGGTGTTCACCCAAGAGTTCTGAAGGAACTCAAAGATGAAATTGCAGCATGCCTAACTGTGGTATGTAACCTATTGCTTAAATCAGCCTCTGCACCAAATGACTGGGTGGTCGCTAATGTAATGCTGATTTGCTTTAAAGAAGAGGATTCTCAGACACACAGAAGACCATAATATGTTGGGGAAGAGTCAATGTGGCTTTTATAAAGGGAAAGCATCCCTCACCCATCTATTAGAATTCTCTGAGCAGGGGTCAACAAGTATCTGGACAAAGGTGATCCAGTCAATATAGTGTACTTAGACTTTCAGAAAGCCTTTGATAAGGTCCCACACCAAAGGCTCTACATTATGTAAGCTGTCATGGGGAAAGAGGTAAAGGCCTCACATGGATCAGTGATCGGTTAAAAGACAGGCAACAAAAAATAGGAAAAACTGGTCATTATGACAATGGAGACCAATAAATAGCAGGGTCCCTGAGGAGCTGTACTGGGACCTGTGTTGGGCAACATAAATGATCTGGAAAAGTGGGGGGAAAGTGAGGTTGCAAAGTTTTCAGACAGTGCAAAATTACTCGATAGTTCAGGCCAAAGGTGACTGCCAAGTTCCAAAGGGGGCTCACAGAACTGGGTGACTGGGCAACAAAAGTGCGGATGACATTAAATATTGAAAAGTACAAAGTAATGCACTTTGGAAAACATAATCCCAACCATACATAGAAAACAAGGGGGGAGGGGGAGTCTAAATTAGCTGTTACCACTCAAGAAAGAGATCTTGGAGTCATTGTGGATAGTTCTCTGAAAACATCCATTCAACGTGCAGCGGCAGCCAAAAAAAGCAAGCAGAATGTTGAGAATCATTACGAAAGGGATAGATAATAAGACAGAAAATATCATATTGCCTCTATATAAATCCATGGTACGTGGATACTCGCATACTGCGTGCAGTTGTGGTTGCCCCATCTCAAAAAGATATATTAGACTTGGAAAAAGTACAGAAAGGAGCAACAAAAATGATGAAGGCTCTGGAACAGCTTTCATATGAGGAGAGGTTAAAAAGAATGGGACAGTTCATCTTGGAAAAGCGACTGAAAAAGCGACTAAGGGGGGATATGACAGAGATCTATAAAATCATGACGGGTGCGGAGACAGTGAATCGGAAAGTGTCATTTACCTCTCACATAGCACAAGACCCAGGGGTCAGCCAATGAAATTAACAGGCAGCAGGGTTAAAACTAATATAAGGACGTCCTTCTTCACACAACACACAGTCAACCTGTGGAACTCATTGCCAGGGGAATGTTGTGAAGGTCAAACGTATCACTGGGTTCAAAAAGTAGCTAAGTTCATGGTGGGTAAGTGCATCAGTGGCTATTAGCCCAAATAGACAGGGACGCAGCCTTGTGCTCTGGGTGTCCCTAAACCTCTGACTGCCAGAAGTTAGGACGGGATGACAGGGGATGGCTCACTCGAAATTGCCCTGTTCCGGTCATTCTGAAGCACTTGGCATTAGCCACTGCTGGAAGACAGGCTACTGGGCTAGCTGGACCATTGGACAGACCTGGTATGGCTGTTCTTAGGTGCTGGGAGTCAGGACTCCTTGGCTTTATTCCCAGCCCAGGAAGGGGAATGGGGTCTAGTGGTGAGGGCAGGGGAGGGAGGTGCTGTGGGTCAAGATACACATCTTTACTACTGATAACATAGGGCGTTAATCGCAGGACTTTGCCTTTGATCAACTAACTGGCCATTTCCTAGTGTCATTGTTGCCTAGGCCAGGCCTCCCCTCTCCAGCCAGCAGGTGGCCCTGTTGCTCCTCTCCGAATCCCTCGGCAGCAGCGCTGGCTGGGCCTGGGACCAAGCTCAGAGCTGGCTGCACCAAAGGCCTCCTGGCTGTGATGAAGACACAGGACAGGGCCTGCTGTCCATTCAACCCTCGAGATATTAATGCCCTTGAGCTGCAAGGGCCGGGCCAAGAGCAGAGCCCTGAGAGCTGGAGGCGTTTCTGTGCTTGGTCAGCGCTGAGGAGGGGGCGGCAGGAGAGCCCCAGAACAGTAGCAACAAACTCCCTTGCCCCAGCGCCAGCAGGGGATGGAGGCTCCCCCCACGCTAGTGAGAACAATGAGGCTCCCCCCACTGAGAACAATGGAGGCCCCCCCGAGTAAGAACAATGGAGGCTCTCCCTCCTGTTATTCCCAATGGAGGCTGCTGGGGGCTGAGCGCTATTGAAATCCAGAGCCATGGCCTAGCTCCGCCCTTGCCCAGGGCTGCCTCCCACCATCACCCCCAGCCCAGGGCTCTGGGGGCCTGGCTCCCGCTGCCCAGGGGATGGGCTCTGACTGGCCTTTATAGGAACTTTGAGATATGAGGCATAAAAGACCTCAGCCAATGAACTCCAGCACTGTCCCTCTCAGCCAATGGGTTACCGTCACTGTCCCTTCTTAACCAATGAGCTACCCTTGCTGTCTCTTCTCAGCCAGTGGGTTACCTGGACTGTCCCTCTCAGCCAATGGACTATGGGGTTGTCCCTGCACTGCCCCATGCCTCATCCCCTAAGGTGCCTCCTGCTTCTCCACCACCCACTGTTTGAGCCCAACTCAGGCTGGCCGGCACCAATGTCCCCCAGCCAGCATGCTGGAGTGTGCGCCGGGGAGGCAGGCGGAGACGCTGCTCTGAGCTGGGGGCTCCAGGTCTCCCAGCCAGAGTCGCTGCACTGGAGGGGGCCCCCAGTTGGCCATCAGATCCTCCTGCATCCCACCCCCAATAGGAAGCTATCTGCCGAGGAGCTGGAGAGTCTCTAAGACTGAACACTTGCCCCCCATGTTTGCAAACAGCCCCTGAGGCCGGGGAAGGGGCAGTTGCCAGGATCACAGTGGCTTGGAGTTGCAGCTCTGAGCCTGACTTTGCTTACCTGGGTTTTATTTTCTTCACTTTCCTTCCCACGAACTAAAGGCAGGAATTCCAAAACTGATTAAAGGAAATATTTCACTACCCAGCATGTGCTCAGCCTGTGGAACTCCCTGCAACATGATGTCACCGAGATCAAGAGACAGTGGTCCCTGCTGGCCTTGGAATCCGAGAATCTAGCGGGCTTGGACAATTATGTGGATCACAAGAAAAGCCAGACTTACTATAAATAAATAAAAAAAAAAAAAAAAAAAAAAAAAAAAAAAGGGGGGGGTTGTTTTTTTTTTTCAAACCGAGGGGAAGGGAGAAAAGAGGGGGGCGCTTTTTTGTTTTTAATAGGAGGGAAGAGAAGAGAGAAGGAGAATTGTATTAAATTGAGGGGGGGGTGGGTGGGTTTGATTAGAAAGAAAATTTTTTCTCAAAAAGGGAGAGAAAAACAAGAAAATGAAGCTAGGGGGGGGGGGGGGTATTCTCTCCTTTTTTTTTGGTTTTAGGGAGGGAGAAAACCCAGCGGGGGGGGGGGAATTTTAAAGGGGGGTGGTTTTGGGGGGGGGGGGGGGGGAGAAGACCCTGGGGGGGCCCCCCCAACCCTTATATTTTATGATTCTATGATTCTATGAAATAATGAGACCAAACCTTTGGGAAGGGTTATTAAACCTGCTTCAGGAACTAAGCCGATCGCTGACCATTAAAGAGCAGGATGAGACCTTCACTGGGTTGGGGGGGGGGGGTCAGATGATCATCCGTCGGCTCCAGCGGGGTTCTCACCCCTTCCTTTGCAGCCTCTCGTGCTGGAAGACTGGGCTGATCCCATCTGGCAGAGCCTATTGTTCCCTCCCACACGCCAACCCCAGCACAGAGGTGCAATGAGCAGCAGGTGCTAACATGAGATCAGTTTATTGATTGACACGACAGGCTTGGTGCTCTGGACAGCCAAAGCTGCGGTGATGATGGGGGCTTGTAGAGGGCTGAGTGCAGGCGACGATAGACACACCGGGCAGGGTTCAGCCTCCTGCACCACTGGACAGGGGCAAGGGCAGCCAGATGTGCGGCACTGCCAGGCTCGAGGCACGCTACATGCTCACATCCCACGCTTGCCCTGGGGTCAGCAGAACCTGGACCCAGCTTGGCCCACCTGTCCTGGGACCTGGCTGAGGGAGGCAGGAACCTTGTAGGGTTAGAGACCCTGGTCAGACCGAGGGCGAGGGGGAAGCAGTGGGGTGTCCCGTGTGGCTGGGGAGAAAGGGATGTCCCCCTAGGCTCTGCGCTCCTCGGGGCTTGTCCACACTAGCACAAAGGTGTGTTTAAACCATGATTGACAACATGCTTCAAACCCTCAGTGTGGACAGGGCAGGTCATAGCTTCACCATGTGTCAAAGCTGGGTGAGGGGAGAGCCAGGGGTGGTCTGGCACAAGGCCCAGCCATTCCTACACTCCCGCTCTGGTCTCATGCAGGGTGTGAGGTCCTGGGCTGGGCTGTGCAAGGGGGGATCTCACCCTCTCTGGACTCTGCCTGGAATTGCATGTCCACACCTGGCACTGTCAATCCCGCCCAGGATCATTGTGTTTGCTGTGAAATGCCTCACTTGTGCCAGGCTGCCCCATTCACCGCG